GGCATAGGCTATGCTTGAAGTGTATCAGTGCAAGAATTGTGTTTGTTTTCCAGGCGACGAGTTGGGTGATCATACCTACCTGACCCGATCCCATCCGCAAATGGGCACCCTACTGTTGGAAAAAAACCCAGTCGTCTCTCCATTTTGCTTGCACAGAATAAATTGTGCATCTCTCACTCTCGTTACAATCACACAAAACAGTTCATCATTGTCCATAATGCACAAAATGATAGCAAAGGATAAACATTGTTAACTAAACATACAGGTATCTTAAATTGTATCTGTAATAATGCGTTACTTATGGAAAAGAGTTATAGGCTTAATTATAAATAGTCGGATGTTCTGACTGGCTGAATTTATGTGCCGTGGAATTATCACTTCCGATTTTTCGACGGCCTGACGTATAAATATCCACTTCCATTTTTTTTACATGAACGATTTTAGTTTTTGATTGGTGACTATATCTAGATCTAGATTCTAAATTCAAAATAGGTTACTGCCAAGGTCGAGCTGTTTTGTATTCTCGCGGTACCTTTTGAAGGTATTTTCAAATGAAGTATAAGTCCGGGCCTCAACCACAGATGAAGTATCTGAATATTCATGCAGACATTTAAAAATCTCTAGAAATTGGATTTTACGATGTAAAAAATGCTTTTTCCCATTCCTCGCAGAATGGCAAAATGAAATAATGACTCCTAGATCTAGATTATAAGTCTCGCAAATAACCAAAAAAATCTCGAGATCGGGAACCGTTCAGAGTAGAGTTTATGTGTCTTGACATGACACTGAAACAGTGTGTGTGTGTGTGTGTGTGTGTGTCAATGTGTTGTGACATGACAGTGAGACAGTCTGTGTGTGTCAATGTGTCTTGACATGACTGTGTGTGTGTGTATGTCAATGTTTCTTGACATGACACTGAGACAGTGTGTGTGTGTGTGTGTGTGTCAATGTGTCATGACATGACAGTGAGAGTGTGTGTGTGTGTGTCAATGTGTCGTGACATGACAGTGAGACAGTGTGACAGTGTGTGTGTGTCAGGGTGAGCCTGGTGTACTTGTGGAGCCTGATACTCTTGACGGCGATGGCGACGGATGGCGATTTGTTCATTGTGTTCACAGATCAATATGAAGTATTGCCAGTTATTGTATCAAAGGAAAAATTTGATTGCGCTTTTTGGCATGAGTTGTTTGACACACGCCCGTGAGGTGTTTTATAATACAGTTCTGCAAATACAAAGAAAATTTAGCAGTTCACTCAGGGAATAGCGGATTATTTGAGCTTACCATGAGTTTGAGTTTTGTGTTTCTGAGATTTCTGAGCTCGACTGTACTACCATTATTAATTTTTGTAAAATAATATTTCCCATGATTCATTTTTCTAAAGGAAATCCATGAAGTAAAGGCAAGTAAGCAAGGTGTACAGAGCGTCGCTGTTTGCCGCCATGAGACTGGCACACACGCTGTGATGAACTGTGCCTCCTTTTATGACGGACGGCACCACCATCTGGCCACGGGCGAGGACGAGCTGTGTCGGTCTTATTCCGTCAAGTACAAAGTGGTCACCCCGACCAAGGCGGAGAAGGCAGATACAGGTCGGTCATGTTTGTCACTAATGTTTTATGTCCGTCTAGATCTACACAATTGTGTGACAAATGTTTTATGTCCCTGTAGATCTACACTATTGTGTGACAAATGTTTTATGTCCCTGTAGATCTACACTATTGTGTGACAAATGTTTTATGTCCCTGTAGATCTACACAATTTAGATTATTTACTCGATAAAAAACATCCCCACTTATAATTGAAATTCATTTGTTTGCACAAGGAAACAGCAAAAAGGTTAACAACACCACAGATCCTGGCAAACACTACTGTCATCACTATATGTTATGACTTTTAGTTCAAACAAATAATTAATTGTTGAAGAGAAAGACTTGCGATTCTTAGATTAGTTACTGTTTCATGACTGCTTAGCTTTAACGGGTGTGCATAACAAACAAATGTTTTCTTTCTAAACCACTATCTTAACTCACTTTATTACTGTTCTATATATATATGCGTCTTTTTTTTTTTTTTTTGAACAGATAAAGCCAATGGCACTGCTACGAGACAGAGGAAAGGAGAAAAAGCAACAGACGACGGCACAGCAAATGGATCAGCCCAGAAGCAGAAACAGTTGACATTCCAGATTGAAGGCACTGGGGAAGTAGCCACAGATTTCTCCAGTGACGGAGGCTTCCAGAAGTGTGTCCGCTTTTTTCCTGACTTCTCTCAGCTGGTCACCGGGGGGGGCGACGGCCACGTCAGGGTGTGGAAGGTGGGTGATCTGGGAAAAGAAAGGAACGATTGTCCCAAGTTTGGGAATAACTATAGTACTGTATCTTTATGGGTTAGCGGTTGTTTAGGGATAGTAAGGGCGTAGGGTTAGAGTTAGGAGTACAGTAATCATTGCACTTGGGCCAAAACCAAAGTATCACAAAAGACTTGAGAATGCCAGTGAA